TGGTCTTCGCACTGCTTCAAATGTCTGGGGCTGGAAACTAGTGGATGCCGTGTCCTTGCTTTGAACTGCTCGCCGACATTTTTTTGGTACTACGAACTCATCGGAGTCCGAATCTGAGTCACTTGGTTCATACTCGGAAACATCTGGTGAAAAATCCGACTCATCAGATAGCGCATCATTCCACAATTTTCTAAGTTTTTCCTGATCTTTTTCGTAAGACATTTTTTTTAATCCACTAAACTTACTTATACCAAACAATTACAACTTGTATATGCATATAATACGACTTATTGCAACGACTACGCCGCCTAAACTAAGCAAGAATTGACGTGAATACACCAGCTGATGTCGCCCACGCATGCCCACCGTGGCCATATTGAAAGTTCGAGTGGTTAAGGCCGCGGTGGGTCAATGGTGTCCACCAATTTTTTTATCGCATTTTTACAAAAATAAATGAATTTTGGGGTAACTATTTGAGTTTTCTTTACGTATATGCATTTTAACATTTATACCTGAAAAAAAAATTGTGGCCAGTAGGGACTGCTAAACGGTCTTCTCGTGGTGGCACTCTATTAATGTAAAAACAATTTGAAGTATTCATGCACTTGAGTAAGCTGCTGTACTAGCGAAACATGTTGTGATTATATTTTTTCAAATAAAGTTTGTGGAGATCAAATCTTGAGGTGTAGTTTTTGAAATAACTCGAGAGTGTTATAGAGGCCGGTCTGAAAATGTTGTTTAGAACTGGCAAACCGAAGGAGAGAAATAAAATATCTCGATAATGGGTATCACTTTTCGCAGAAATAACAGGAAAAATGTGATGAGTGTACTAAAAACGAGTCATCAACTTCACAGACAGAGTATGTGTGATTCTTTAATGACGGTTGTTTTAAAAAACAACGATGGTATTATATGGGTTCATACCGAGTCGATTGTTGGGGAGGAATTCGTTACACAAAATGGGTTCATTCCACACCAAATACCATCTACTTGATGAAATGAAATGAGAATAATCACAACCAAATATCCTTTGGAATGATGTGTTTCATTTTCTACTCATGATTCTACTAGATATTTTACCAATTCAGGTTTCTTCCAATCAGGAGTAATTGAATTTCGAACTATTTCTTTTTCAGTTTTTTCACATAAGCTATACCAGAATAGTCCACTCTATGTGCTTGAAAATGATGTAGGATTCAACTATTTCATTTCTCCCGAAAATGTATCTGATTTTTGAGAAACATCGTTATTCAAAGGAAGAAGAGTGTTTTCTGACTGTGTGCTTTAAAAACAGGCAACAAAATGAACTAAAAAAATTCTCAAATCATAAATTTTACAGCAGATGTGAGATCATTCTCCATATCTTTCAGTATATTTGGTTTCTTTCGATGAACCTCTACTATAACATTTCCACATAGATGAAAATCTAAAGGCGTTGCGTTTGAGGTTGTACTAAATAATGAACCCTACTATTCTATTAGTCGAGCCCTGTCATTTGATACCCATATTGAGATAGTTGTGAAACAATATGTAATCCGCCATTTTGTAGCTACGGCTATCTTGGATTTACTATGATGAAGGATTCATCAAATTGTATTATCATCAAAACTAAATGTGTGTTCCAAATATCAGATCAATGTGTCAACAAGAAGGGGGTCCAATTTCAATGACTAAATTTAACCCAAACAAACAAAATAACAGGGCAATATGTTTTATGTTTTGTTTCCTTTGTTTAATGTTTTGTGTTATGTTTTATGTTCTGTTTTGGCTTTGTTTTTTGTTTTGTGTTTTGTTTTGTGTTTCATGTTTTGTGTTTTACGTTTTATGTTTTACGTTTTATGTTTTTTGTTTTACGTTTTATGTTTCACGTTTTATGTTTTGTTTTCTGTTTTGTGTTTTTCGTTTTGTGTTTTGTGTTTTTTGTTTCGTGTTTTGTTTTTCTTTTTTATATTTCATGTTTTATGTTTATGTTTTATAATTTTCCTGTTTTATTGTTTTATGCTTCTGTTTCATGTTTTGTTTTATGTTTTACGTTTTATGTTTAATTTGATATTTTGTGTTCTTTGTTTCATGTTTTTTGTTTTATTTTCTGTCTTGTGTTTTGTGTTTATGTTTTGTTTTATGTTTTATTTGATGTTTTGTGTTTTCTGTTTTATTTTCTATCTTGTCGGCTATCTTGGATTTACTATGATAAAGAATTCATCAAATTGTATTATCATCAAAACTAAATGTGTGTTCCAAATATCAGATCAATGTGTCAACAAGAAGGGGGTCAAACTTCAATTAAAAAATGTAACCCAAGCAAACACAACAACAGGGCAATATGTTTTATGTTTTGTGTTCTTTGTTTGATGTTTTGTGTTTCGTTTTATGTTCTGTTTTTGTTTTGTTTTGTTTTTTGTTTTGTGTTTTGTTTTGTGTTTTATGTATTATGTTTTGTGTTTAATGTTTGATGTTTTTTGTTTTATGTTTTATGTTTTGTTTTATGTTTCATGTTTTGTGTTTTACGTTTTAGGTTTTATGTTTTACGTTTTATGTTTTGTTTTCTGTTTTGTATTTTTCGTTTTGTGTTTTATGTTTTGTGTTTTTTGTTTCGTGTTTTGTTTTTCTTTTTTATGTTTTATGTTTCTGTTTCATGTTTTGTTTTATATTTTACATTTTATGTTTAATTTGATGTTTTGTGCTCTTTGTTTCATGTTTTTTGTTTTTTTTTTCTGTCTTGTGTTTTGTGTTTATGTTTTGTTTTATGTTTTACGTTTTATGTTTTATTTGATGTTTTGTGTTCTTTGTTTTACGTTTTTTGTTTTGTTTTCTGTCTTGTGTTTTGTGTTTATGTTTTGTTTTATGTTTTTGTTTCACGTTTTATGTTTCATTTGATGTTTTTGTTTCATTTTTTGTTTTGTTTTTCGTTTTGTGTTCTGTTTTGTTTAGTGTTTTATGTTTTTTGTTTGGTGTTTTATGTTTCATGTTCTGTGTTTTTTGTTTTTTGTCTTGTGTTTTGTTTTATGTTTTGTTTTGGGTTTTTGGGTTTTTTCGTGTTTTGTTTTGTTTTTTTTTTGTTGTGTTTTTTTTGTTTTGTGTTTATGTCGAAATAACAATTCCATTAATGGGGGAAATGATTTTTTTCAATTTTTGACTACACTTCTCACCCAAATAATGTAATTCCATATTTCAGATTTTGGATTCCAGATGATAAGTAGCATAATATATGGATATAATGTATGGAGAAGTGAATATACCACTAGGTCAGTTTGAAACAGTGAAAAAATCTAGAACTTACCTTTCCACTTTGATGGAGTCCTTTCTTTAAGATGCAGTATACTGTAATCCATCCCAAACAGAGTGGTATGAACAGATTCCATTGAATGCCTCCCGTTTCAGTCAGGCCTGATGATAGGCCCAAGACCCTGCGACTTCAGGAACAACTTATTAACTAAGAAATGAAGACATTCAAGGTTACTTACTCAAGAAATTCCTCCACAGGAGACGATTTATTTTTCGAATTCGTAGAATTCAATGATGTTGAGTTACTATCTCTCACAAAGCAGTTCTCAGTATTCCACCAATTATCTGAAAAATATTAAAATGGTAATGAAACACTATACAATAACGTTTTTTCATTGAATGTTTGCTCCTGAACAGTAGAATGATATAGAAACATGACGTATTCTCGGAGTTAGTCAAACATTTGTTGTAATATAAATTGAAAAACCCATATGAAAAATCGTGGTTATGCATGGTATGGAGGTATGTAAACGATGTGAGATGAAAAGTGCTAGTTTTTTTTTGATGTTATAATTCTTTCCAACACAAATTCCACACCCAAAAAAATCCGTCTAATTAAATGGTGGCATCGAGAAGAGTGTTATAGTTCTGATGTGTGGAAATAGTATCTGTGTTCAGTTCAATATCTCAATCCAACTGACTTTTTTGAATAAAACTTTTATATGTATATTTTTCGATTGATTCTCCTTGGAACAGTCTGATTACTCTGCCTCTTCGAGTCAATAGTTGACACAGAAGTACTACTTTTCTCGAAATCGTGGTAGAATGCCAGTGATGTGAAAGTTTGCTACCACTCGGTCTCATTTCGACTTATACTCGTGATATGACGAGCTAATGTACTTCCATTGTCTCATCTGGGCTTCTTGAGTTGCGATAGTAGGCCATCGTGAAAGCATATGGATGGAATCCCACTGGGCTAAGTACGCCTTGGCAACTACACCATCTCTGGTCGAATTCCTATGTTGAAATAGCTCCGAACCAGTTTCAGATCATTGTCATGTCGTGTCATGTATGGCTTGGCAATTTTTTTTCTTCGTGATTTCAGATTCTAAACTACGTTTTTCATTTCCAGTATCCCATTTTGAAACAATAAATCGCAGTACGCCTACATTTCACTTTCTATGACTCATTCAGATGCATTGTCATTCAGTGGGAACAGCCCATGCTGCTGCTCTGATGTGAGTGCATCCTGACTTCCCCTAAGGCCTTTGTCATTTTCAACAATATATCTGCAAATATTCTTGTTTTCAACAATTTTAGCAAAGTATTTTCCTAAAAAATCCCGTTCATTCATTCAATTTATAGTTTGATAAACATGAGTTTTCTGGACCACAAGCTTATTACCTCATATTCTGTAGTTGAATGTCAATGTATTCAGGGAATTCTTCAAAGATCCGCCATTTTGTAGTAGTCGAAGATATTGACATTATATTCTAGGGTTGTGGAGCATTTGTCAGGATCTTCAAAAAGATATATCACAAGACCCCCTTTTTACCTATTTTTTGTCCAGATGGCGCCCAGTCGCCATCTTGAAAGTTTCATCTGTCAATTTCACTTCAAAATAAAGTATTCATGCAATAATTTCATTACTCCAAATTTCAATTCTTTGAGTTGACTCGTTCAAAAAATAAAAGGGGGGACATTGAAGAAATGCACGCAATAATTTTCCTTCTGAACTAATCAAGTACCTGTGATGCTGCTATATGAAAATTGTGAAAAAAATCAGAATTACAATAATACAAGTGATCAAAGTATATAAATAATTTTTGAACGAATATTTTTTTTAAGTGCGTCTGAATCTTAAAGATATTTTGCAATGAAGTAGTTGACATTCGACAAAATGAACATTAGTAGGTATTAGTATCAAGGACCAACATTGAAATTACAACTGATCGTTCACGAAAATAATTGGTTCAGTTGAATATGTTATTTGAACTCTTTCAAATGTTAACATGTTCGTCACCCATTTTATACTGAGTTTGATCAACTTACCACAGTCAGACCAAGGTAACGGATCCGAAAAACTGCTGAATATATAGAATAACGTCCAAGCTATTATCACACAGTAATAAACATCCAATAAAAATACTATCGTCATAGTTGCATAACCTACACCTTTCAAGAGTGGACATAGTTGCCCCACAAACGTCATTCCTCCTGATCCCAAATACTGGCCTATGGCAACTTCTTGGAAAAATATAGGGATACCACAAACAAACATTGCGATATGGTAAGTTATTAGGAAGGTACCTGTAATCAAAATGTCAGAAGTTATTAACTAGCAGCAACTCCCCTGTGCTCACATCAAATAATTGATTTTCATAGGCAAATTTTTGACACTTTGGGCTACATTACTGCAATTTCTGTATATATTTGATGTTTTGCAAATACAATACCACTCAACCAACCTTTTTTTTTAATACCATCAGTTTGAATAAAAACTGACTTTTTTGAAGGAGTAGTAAGAGTTGAAAACAGAATTATTCAATTTTTCTTTGAAATCCTCAGATTTTAATCATGGAACATAAATTCAGACTATTCGATTAGACTGATTTCAACCTATCATTAAATGAGTCATCTTCTGGAATGACACCTTGGCACCGCAACCAAATCTAGATTAGATTCGTTTTTGGTGAAAAACTTTCTACAAGAATTAATAATTAACACATTATTATAATAGAATACAATGCAATTCTAACGAAGAAAACAAGAAAGAAAAGACTATGAGCCTTCAACGACTAAAATGATGAAATAAGATGAACTTATTCAAACAACACAATAATGTGAGATTATCATTTGAAAGTTTACAAAATGGCGACAAATATTTTGCTATATAATAAATAGCCAGTTACACACGGTGTACCACAAAGGTCAGTTTTTGGACCACTTTTGTTTATCATCTGCATCAATGATCTGTTCTTCTCTTAATTTTCAAATAATATAGTTATGTTTGCTGATGATGCAACACTCATAAACGCGGATAAAAATAGGGAAAATTTGAAGATTATTATTGAACAGGCAAAAAAATAAATAGAGAGGAAATTCAATATCCCGTTATTTCAACAAATCATAACGTTGCTGCAGGTAATGAGGTCACATTGCTTTGAGTTGTTTTGGATGAACAATTTTTGTTCCGAAAGGGGGAACACTGACTTGCTACAAATGTATTGTATGGATATGTAACGTGGCCAATTTTCATTAACAATTCTGCAATTACATGGGCAGGAAAGTGTTGGTAAATAAATCAATACTGGATAAAAAGTGAATAGGTTAGAAAAAAATTAGGAAAGGATGACCTGAAGTAATCCTGCGACCGCGCGCTCTCCGCCCTCTATCTCGAAAACGGTTCACCGTATGAAAAATTTTCTAAACAAAATTTGTAGAGAATTTTGTATTCTACAATATTGATGAAGAATACAAATAGCAAAAAACCCATAGGAAATGAGATATTTAAAAAAAACGCAAAAAACCGATTTTTGTAAACTTTGACCTTGAAATGTAATAGTTGCGTACACCCTATTATATGTGAGGTTTTGAGAAAACTTCAAGGGTGTCCAATATACAAGTATTTATAGACTTACAGCTGGATAGCTCGAATTCCGAGGTGAACTTACTATAATGACTGGACTAGGAAGAATTTCCTCACATCCCATATTTGTTCGGTATTTTGTTCTACCATTTCACTGAAATTGCAGATCTTCTGCGGACTTAATGATATGCAGCGCACTGAACCCTGTATATTATAATGGGATAGAAATGCGGCGAAAGCTATTTTCTTTCACATGAACGGCAATTTTATTCCGTATTCAATATGAATCAATTCACATACATAATTATTGAAACGGTTTATACCTCTTTTGTTTCTTCAGATAAACTCATTGGTAATAATACTATCAAATCTATCGAATTGATCTTACCTCCTCCATTCTTGTAACACAGATATGGAAATCTCCACACATTTCCCAGTCCCACGGACAAACTAATGCACGACATCAGAAAATCTAATTTATTTCCCCATCCTCCTCTCTCATCCTCATCCGTACCGCCAGGGGGTCTATTAGTTTCGTCTTTTGTTTTTTCCTCGGCAGTCTTGGATGAAATGAAAGCCGCCTTCTCGGCCATTGCAGGGGTAGAAATGTGCGAAGTGGTCTCATCCCAGAGGTATAGTTTGTTGGACATTTTGACTGTAACGAAAGAAAATTTGTACGGTCGACTCGGGACGAATGGCAAACCGTCTTCAGTCATTATTTCATAACATAACAGGGCCGTACCGACTGTTCAGTCGGTGCAGCATGGCTGAGCGTTATAGAATGGTACTTGATGAGGAAATATGTATCTATCTTTTTTCAATCTGGAATTTCAAGCAGAGAAATTTCAAGCGGATGAGGGAATGAATTTGTGAATTCGAAGTTTTTATTGGTTTTAAATTCAGAATATTGAAAAATGTATAAAAAACAGTTCACAATCCCCAAGAGAATTGGTGAGATGAATCAAACTTCACTGGACCCAATACATTTTTCTACATTAAAAATAGAAAATCTAAATTCTTCAATATGTTTATACCAACTTCAGTTAGTTTAGGTTAGGTCCGAAGTGAGTGAGTCTATTTGACCCTAAACCGCAACCCGCATGGGTTTATTGTGGCTCACACCTATTCACACTCGACCAAATGAACCCACCTTCTTAACAAAGCCGATTATTTTTTATGGTAAGTGATCTTTTAGGTCATATGGTAAGATTACAGTTCTGCCAAACTCTGAAAACCTGATTTGATCCCCAGCGGGGCAGGCACAAAGTATGTACTCAGCTGTTTCATCATTTTCCCCGGCAGTCCGAGTCTCTGCATATGATAATTCAAATGGCAATAACCTGTAAGAAGGTGTATTAGACATCGTAGTTCATCCCTACTATAGTTCACCAACTGTTAGATATCAAGCTTCGAAGAGTGAATACACGCCTTGGAGTGAGCTAATCCTGGAAGATTCTGCCAGACTCTTGCCATCCAGGTGTTCAATCTTTGTTTGGCAAAGATTAAAGCGATGCCAATGCTTAAAGCGATGCCAATGACAGGTTCTGGTCCGATGAAACTGCTTGCAACACCCTCCTTTGCAAGGGAGTCAGTAGCCTCATTGCCCTCCAGGCCAGTACGGACAAAAATCCCGACCAGAGATAATATATTGAGTCTTTCTATCGGAGACAGGCGTTTTTGGCAATATGCTACCAGTTATAACGTTGCTCGGTAAGAGCGAACAGCTTCCAACGCGCTTGACTGTTCGAGAATATTTTCATTGACTTGTGTAATAGGTTGAATTCTTCTAGTCTCTCTGCACACAATTCAATAACGTAAATTTCCGAAATACAGTTGCATAGGTTCCTAGGCAAGTTAAAATCTCTGTCCTGGGTCTGCGACTGAAAACACCGGCACAAGAACCTGCAAGCAACTATTTGCTCCTGATATTTCCTTCTCCGAAGGACTCAGTCCTCTCTACTCGGGAACAGTACTTTATAAGCCAGTTAGTAGTTGACAATTGAAGACATAAAGTCAGCGGTCATTTCCAGAACGCCGTAACTTCCAGTGTCAACCAACAGTCTGTTGCACTCTGCATTAAATTGATTTGTGCAATTGGCAATGTGCAGAAGTCTTTATGCAGTCCATCTAGCTTCCCTCTTCAGAAAAATGTGGAGAGAAGGTAGAACTGTGAGGATCTCCTTGGCAGTTGACTGATGGCATCACTGATGGCCAGACAGTGCCTGTCTGTAAGTCAGAGAGCTTCGCCTGACCCCCTTTCTATAAAGCCTTCGGCCACCAGGCAAATGCACCATAAGTGATCATTGGTCTGATAATCATCACATAAATCCAATGGATTTGTATGGGACCTAAACCCCAAGTTTCACCACAAATCCTTCGACATGTCCACAAGGACAGTCTGGCTTTGTCTAAAACTTTTACCAAATGGGCGTTTCAAGTGAGTTTTTTATAAAAAACAATGCCTAGATATTTCACCTCCGTTCCAAATGGAATGACTTCACCGTTGAGGGAAAGTGGCGTCGTCCAATTATCTCCTCTTCACCACAAATCCTTCGACATGTCCACAAGGACAGTCTGGCTTTGTCTAAAACTTTTACCAAATGGGCGTTTCAAGTGAGTTTTTTATAAAAAACTATGCCAAGATATTTCACCTCCGTTCCAAATGGAATGACTGCACCGTTGAGGGAAAGTGGCGTCGTTCAGTTATCTCCTCCTGGTGAAGGGGATCATCAGAGTTTTGCTGGAGTTGACAGACATCTGCTTCCTCAGGCACCAACTGTGAACAACGTCCATCGTGCTTTAGAGGATATTACAAGCTACCCTTTGCTTGCAGATCTACTTTTTTTCTATCGAGGGCATCAAGCAGACTATCCATCAGTAGCGACCACAGTAGGGGTGATAGTACCCCACTTGAGGGCAGCCTCTGGTGACCCTGAACCTAATGGCCTCGCCTTGAAGAGTCGTAGTTGCAGTTCTGTATACCAGCACGGTATATATACAGACCAGTTATCGTGGATTCTTCACCTTTCCTAGCCAGAGATGATCCTATTGATTTAGGTACTGCATTGTCAAATGCTCCTACAATATCGAGATATACAGTAACTGCAATATCCTTGTTGTCCAGGGATTGGGAAATTTTCTCTACAAAGTTGTTTTATGCTAAATCTGTCGATTTGCCGGTTTGATGAGCATACTTGTGGTTATTCAGTGGAATGCATATAATGCCTACCTCCTGATGTGCCCGTCCAGTATCAACTTAAGTCCTTTCAACAGGAAGGATGTAAGGCTGATGGGTCGTACCGATTTAAGGTGTGGGTCTTTCCTATTCACTTTAGGTATATATACCACCCTTGCTGCCAACGAACTGGGTGGTATATAGTTTCACTCCGGACGGGCTATATTCAATTTTATGAGAATAAGGTGAAATTATTTCCAGTCCGTTTTGAAGAAGAGCTGGAAATATACCATCCCCTCCAGGAGATTTGAAGGGTTGATAGCCCATTCAACTGCCGGTGCTATGATAACCTTCTTGACGACCTTTCGATTGTTCTCTTTTGGGCGTTTAGCGCCCTTCAAGATGGGAGGTCTCTTGTTATGAAGAGTCCGATTTCCAGGAAAGTGGTTTTCTATCAAAAGCCTCAACGTTTCTTCACTAGAGGTCGTGAATGTTCCATCGGGTCGTTTAAGCGACTCAATTTTAGCAGTCGGCTCTCTAGAGAGAATCTTGTGAATTCGTGGGCTGCGAGTTGAATCAGAGATAAATCCTTCAAAACTCCCGTTTTACCTTTCTAATTTTCTTGTTGTTATAGTAGTTTCATAAGGCTCCCAGTTACCTGAATCTTTATCTCGATTGAATAATCGTCGAACTTCTTTCCTTTGTTTTTCCAGATTTTTGTTCAGCCAAGAAGAGTTATGCTTATCTCTTTGAATCCTATGTGGACAGTAACCTAAACGTTGAATACATTTTTGTTGAAGTAATCCAACGGATTTGAGTCTGGCGGCCTCGCTGGCCATTCAATATGTCCACGTTAACCAATCCATCGGTTCGTAATAATTTGGTCGAGATACCTTCGAACATCTGCAGCATAATGTGGAGGCGCACCATCCTGTTGGAACCATAAACTTCCATCAAAATTTCCAGGATCAATTCTACTGGGTAGTAAATTGATTAAAGTAGGCACAAGATATCCCCTTAAAAACTGAAGGTATTTTGGCCCGTCTAAAGTACCGTCGAAAAAGTAGGGCCCGATGATCCTGTTTCTTACAATGCCTGCCCATACATTTACCTTTTGCGGGTATTGTGTATGATGCTCACGCATTCAGTGGGGGTTTTCCTTGGCCCAGTACTTACAATTCTGACTGTTGACCCCACCATTCAATGTAAAAGTGGCTTCATCAGAAAATATTACATTTTTTTCGAAGAGACGGTCTCGGTGACAGTTATCCATCATGGCTTCACAAAATTCTATTCGTCTCTATCTGGATCATCCTCTTTTAATTCCTGTAGAAGTTCGATTTTATAGAGAAGCCATTTTTCCAATTTCAATACTTTGTGTTCAGTTGTTTTACTGACATCGAAATCATGACTAATCTTACGAACAGAAGTGTGCACATCTTCTTCAAAATCAAGTAGAACATCTAGTTTTATATCATCATTTACAGAAGGACGACCTGATTTGCGTGCATTTTCAACTGTACCAGTTTCTCGAAATTTCTTTTTAATCTCACTTACTGCTGACTGCGTTTTGCGTCTTTCTGGATATTTTTCATTGAATAAGTTACACACTTCCATCTGAGTTCGCGATCTGTCTCCATAGCCAATCATCATCATAATTGAATTCTTTGCTTCACACTTAAACTCATTACTACTTCAAATTAATTCGAAGCAATAATACTGAAAATTCACAAATGAATACAACAACTACTGTCCTATTTAACAGTTACTAAATGTCAATCGAAATAACATTTCACAATAACAAAAAAAACTAGTTTTTTTAAATTAATAAGAAATACTTGTTAGCATGGTTACTGTCAACTACAGCAAGGACTACAGTTCGAACATTTATACTGTATAGGATATTTCTTCAGTAGACATATCGAGCCATCGAAGATATTGAAATTTCTTCTCATCTAACACTACCCCTTGAGACATGGCGTTTGTTAATGAGATATGAGATTATGATATGAGATTAGTGTGAAAACCAATATTTCACTTTAAAAGTTAATGTGAGTCTTGTTATTTTCAGGATATTTTTCGATGTAGAGAGTTTGAAATAATTACTTTATTTCAAAAACATGTATTACTGAACGCCTCGTTGTAATTATGTAACTTAATCAATTCCAAAATTAAATTGTTATTCATTGTTTGCAATCGACATATGTCAATACTTTAAACAGAATGAATTAACATGAATCAATATCAATTGTGAAAACAAACAAAGTCATTCATTGCTATGCTAAATTCCAATTTAACCTCTCTCAATACAATTATGTTCGATCGATTAGGGACGATAACATTTCAGTGTGGCTGATTCTCTTGATGACATATACAAGGTGAGCCAGTGAAGTCCGATTTCTCAAACTTGGCGCTCAGTTTTTTCTCATTTTTCTCTATCTAATTTCCAAACACTTGAAATGAATGAAGAAACAGTAATA